GTGACGTCCACGGCCTACCCCAGTTACCACTACTGTGCATGTGTGTCAAGGACAGAAAGGCAGATGTGGCAGTGGAAGATGTCAAAGCAGTTTGGAGAGAAAAACAAAATAAAGAACAACAACAACAAAAAAAAAGAAAACGATTAATCCATTATTAAATTAGTCATCGATTATTTTAATAATCGATTAGTCGTCGATTAATTGATTAATCGTGGCAGCCCTATTAGAGAAATTGGATTTTCTGTGAAAATACAGAGTGAACAATGAGCGCTGAATGAAGATAAAGCTCATTTTAATTTTGTGTACAGGCTTGTGCAGTGGCAATAAAGATTATTCTATTCTATTCTATTCTATTCTATTCTATTCTATTCTATTCTATTCTATTCTATTCTATTCTATTCTAAAATGGTTAAAACTCAGTCAACACTGATGGTTGGTGAGGTAGTAGCTGAAACTCATCTACAAATACTCTGAGAGCTAACAGGAATGCTAGTTCAATTTTTATGCGATTCCTAAAAGTTCAGTGGCGTCTGCAAACAGAGCATAAAACTGTCAAGATTTTTTATCAGTTCTGATCACACGCCAGATTTTTGGACTTAAAGGCCTGATGTATAAAACAGGTTCAGTATGAATGACATCAGTTCCACTCATTTCAGTCAAGCAAGAAATGTTCCACTCAGTTTTAAATGTAAAAAATAAAATAAAATGACTCGTATATTTGTCTTCATAAGAGCTCATCTGTGGGACTGCCAGGCAGGCAGATGCCTTGTTTCACTCCCTCCCAGGAGAGATCCTGACCTGGCTGTTTCCTTCCACTCTGCATCCTTGCCATCCTTCACACAGATCTCATCCAGCTCTGTGAACAGCTCGTGGGACACGTGTTCAGCATCCTCCTCTGTGCCCAGGATGAACTGGACCCGCTGGGACGGCGTGTCTGATGGCAACATCAGGAAAATCAGGAAAAATGACACTTTTTTTTGTCATGATGTCTTTTATGATGGCAGCACAGACACATTTCACACAAGTCTAAACTCAGAGCCAACATGACTCGTTCCTGTTCCACGTCAGCTAATAAGCAACAAGTCGATTTTAGCCTGAAGAGCTGTGGGTTTAAAGGCATGTGTGAAAAACACACAGTATTGACAGGTTGTATCCACCGGCAGCAAACTCTTTGGGAGTCACGTATGCAAGCATGCATGTTGGCTTTGGAATTACTTGCTAGAAATGATTAATAAATGCATTAGTTGAAAAAAATTAGATGTTTGTTTGTGCATTACCATGGCTACAGGAAGTTGCCTCACTGCCATCAGCTTGTTGTGTTGTGATGCTTCCTGCTCTCCTGTCTCTTCTGCGGTGGCGGGAGCTGTGGGCCTTGTGGTGACGGTGGCTCTGCCTCGGCATCCGGACCCCCACAAACAGAGTCCTGTGGCCTGAGGGCGACATGTTGGTCAGGATTTCAAAACTGGCTTTTGAATGAAGAAAACAGSTCAACAAAAAACTACTGATAAAAATATAAAGATCGAACAAGTCAAAATAATAAAATGATAAATTCTTACAGAAATACTGTAAAAATATAAAATCAAATGATACATTGTGCAATAAAAGAGCACATTTTCATCGAACAGCTCTGTAAGATCTTCTGTAATGTAAGTGTGTTGACCKTTTGCAACTTCAGTCTCCATCATGAGGCTGTTTAAATGAACTCTGGRTAAAAATAGCGTTTTCAGACAATTAAAAACCAGAGCGAGACTGAACATGCAGAGCAGAATAAAGTGCACCGCAGTCCTTTAAAACAAAAAGCAGTGCTGAAGTGACTGAGGGTGGGGACCACTGGTCTGAGGTGTTGTTGGAATCTCCGCAGGGAGAAATTTGGAACAACACCTTTCCTGCTGCTTCCACTCTCACATTAGTCTCAGCTGCTGCCGTCAGTAATTACCATCAGTGGATCTGACTTTACACGCTGCGATAACACGAGGCTGAGCCCAACGTGACGCTTTGATTTTAATCTCAAAGCAGAAACTTCTGAAATGGCAAACAGAGGATGATCAGAATAAACTAAAATCCAAATGATGTTTTCATTCTTTGTATTGTAATTTATTTTATTCTGGAACCATTTTTAAAGTTCAAAGTAAAGTAAGTTAAGCCTAACAACAGAAACAAGCATGTTATTTTTTTCTGACAAAAACAATTACWTAGACTTTTACACCACCTTCACTTTTAACTTTATTTTAGAGAGGACATTTATTTTAGTAATTATTTTTAAAATTATTTTTCGCTTCAGGAGTTCATATAAAGAGCATTTTAAAGGGTAAGTAAGTATGTATGTATGTATGTATGTATGTATGTATGTATGTATGTATGTATGTATGTATGTATGT